GGATAACTGGCTGCCTTATCAGCTCCTGTAGCTCCTATCTTCTTTGTTTTCCATGATGGCACCAACATGACCCAGCCTCACTGCCATCCTACGCCGAGCATCCTTAGTGCAGCATGGCCTTTCCACTCCTGAGTGCCACCTTCCTTGGCAAAAAATGTGCCTCTCTGAAGACCACACTCTTCATGAAGCTCTTAGCAAAACTCTAAAAAAGGGCTGACAAAAAACACCAACAGAGCCCAAAACTATGACCCATGGCTTTGTCTAACCATGGTTTGGCATGGTGTGAACAGCAAAAGGCATATGAAAACCCCACACAAAGAGACATCTCATCCCTCTCCAAAGGGATGCCCATCCATGCCTAATGAGAAACTGCAATGCAAGACTTGAACAGCATAAATAATCAGAAGGATAACAATAATAGTTAAAAAATAAATCCTTATTTATTGATTTCATTTTACCTAGAAAGTCTCTGAGGAGTTTCCACCAAACACTGGGGAGCCACTTGCCAGCTTCGTGCTGATTATCAGCATATGGATTTGGACTATCCCTGTTGTTCTCCCAAAATTTACTTCAGCCAGGCCAGATCCTCTTTCAGCTGGAGCCTGTGACTATACCAGCTTAATGAACTCATGGAAAGGCAGTGGGAAGCAGCAGTTTAATAGGCTGCAAGTGGAATACTAAGCTCCGCAAGCAGTGGGTCACGGATGATCTCACTCTACTTGGACACTTCCCACTTAATACAGCTCAAACCACTTCATTTCCCTTCTCCTCCTGCAGCCCACAAACCACAGGTGGAAGACAACTGGCATGAGACACCTAAAACCATGCAAAATCCAATCTGACTTTGAAGACAATCCTGCTGGGAGCCTTCTGACCCAGGTGAGCCTACATTCCTCCTTCAGAGGTAGCATTAAGATCATGGGCGTTTTGTTAGGAATAAAAAGCCATTGCAGCAAAGACATGGAACTTTCACCCCACCTGTAAGATTTTTCCACAGGTACCTGTGAAAAAGGGATCCACAGATTCCTTTCCACAGACAGAAAAACACTACCACAAGGTCTAACAAAACTGCAGCTATTGATAATATTTTAAAAACAGACACAAAAGTCAGTTCAGCTCTAAAAATCCATGTTCAATAGCCTCCCTCCTGAATTTTCATATTTTCAGAAGTCAAGTGGTTTGTTAAGTTCCACTTTTAAAAGTTTAATTCCAAGACAGAGAGGTTAAGACATGGACACAATCACAGGAGTAAGATGTATAGGCTACCATGGTGGTGTTTGACCTGTCAAACACTGCACAAGATTTAATATTAAAGAGTCACACACACAAAAAAAGACTATTCCGTTTCCCTTTTTTCCTGTTTTTATCCATTATCTGGCAAGAGTTTCATATGTTTGGTTTCTATAGTCTCAACTCTGAACACCTGTGCCATCACATGTATACCCAAAACCTATGGAAAAATTTGGTCTGTGTAAAAGAAAAATAAAATTCCACAAAACCAATCTCAATTCCAATGATCCATAGATATCCCATCAGCAGCATTTTGTTCTTAAAATTTCATAAGAAACCCAAACTTTGCCATAATCCCAGCCATCTAACCTGAAAACTTGGCAGAGTAGTTTTGCAGCGTGAAGCCCAAAGAATTACCAAGCTTCTCCCCAGAGCAGGGAAGCACTCAGAGACATCCCAAACTGATGCTACTGCTTTTGTCCAAAGGAATGCTAGAGAAAGTCTCCAATTTGCAAACTTGAACCGTGATCCTTTAAATATTTATGCTCATGTTTACTTTGTCGAGAGGGGAGAAATCCCGTTCACTCGAGAGGAAGTGGAGCAAATGTCGGCACGCAGGACAAAGCCTGAGAAATTCAGATGCACTTTTAAACCTCAACACAAAAAAACACTATGTTCCAAAGCTGAAACCTGTACCCAGCCCATCTCAGGGAACCAGAGTCCAGGCCCAAGCTGGGAGCTTCATCAACCACACAACAAACATGCCTTCAACCCCGGTGTTTCGCGTGCAAGCGAGAACGCAAATTCCCTTTTATTTACAAACTGAGGGGATGCAGGAATTTCTGAAATCAAGTTTGACCGGCTAAGATGCTTCAAGTGGTTCAACGACCTTGTTTGCTCTCTCATAAATGTATTTTTAAAGGAACTGAGTTCAAAAGTTGCACAGTTTAGAGCAAGAACTAGAACTGGGCAGAAAATGGCCACACTACACTCACCAAAACCAACCACCCCAAATGACTTCAGAAACTCTCTGTTCACACTTGAATGACAGAATCCCACACTTGGGCTGGAAGGGACCTTAAAATCTGGTCTTGTTCCACCCTCTGCCATGGGCAGGGACACCTGCCACTATCCCAGGTTTCTGCAAGCCCCATCTAACCTGGCCTGGAACACCTCCAGTGATGGGGCAGCCACAGCTTCTCTGAGCAGCCTGTGCCAGGGCCTCACCACCTCTCAGCCAACCACTTCTTCCCAATATCCCATCTAACCCTGCCCTCTGGCAGTGGGAAGCCATTCCTCCTGGTCCTGGAACTACAGTTTCTGATGAAGAGTCCCTCTCTGGCTTCCTTGTATGCCCCTTTTAGACACTAGAAGTTTGCTCCTGGTTTTCCCAGACTTGAGTGAGGCATTTAAGCTTCAGGACTACAGGACACTTGTGGTCTCAAGGCTGTGATGGTGAGCCCTGGTCTTCCTTGCTAGTTTGGTGGTGCCAAGATGCAAAACCAGTGGAAGGACCAGCACTGTGCCTGTGCTCCCAGTACTCCCCCTGTTGACTTGCAGGCATGGGAAGGAGCAATCTGTTCTTCCATCCAGAGCACAGTACTGCTCTCCCAGAAATCGAGCAGGGCATGAGGATTTCAAGTCAAGCCACACTTTGACATGAGCTGCACAGGTAACTTGAGTTTCACGTTTCCCAAGTGCCCGAACTCAGGTGCTTGACATTCTCAGGGGTTTTCCTGCAAACCTGATCAATGCTTACAAAACACATCATAAATATCCCAGACACAAATAATTTAGGCATAAAGCATTCAGATTTTCCTAGTGAAGGATCCCAAAGGTTTGATTGTCTGAGTGGTTTAGTACCAGTGCTTGTGAAAGATGCTGTAACAGCAGTAGTCATGTCAGGCATTTGAAACCTTGAATCTGAAAATGCTTCTTCCCCACACAAAACAAGGAGGAAAAAAAAAGCTAAAAATGTGGAGTTTATAAATCATAACAGGAGCAGTGGATGCAGAAAACAAATAACTTCACAAAACAGATCTACATTTAAAATACATGATAAATTCCAGTAAAGCTTTTTCCAAGTGCAGCTGATGGACACCAGGCCTTTCAACACAGAGGAAAAATCTCTAAAGCCACCTTGATTTATGCAGTGATCTCAATAAATACATAAATAAATAAAAAATTAAACAAAAATATGAAGTTGCATCATCATTGATAGCCCAGGAAACAAAAGCTTATTAGTTGTGTGCTGGGGCTGCTGAATTACCTTCCCTGCCATCAGCAGCCTGACTGACAGCTTCCAAAACAGTCTTGGGGATGAAAAATTACAGGCAGAAGGAAAGGCAAAGGCTGGGAAAGCCTTAATGAGGGGGAAAAGGCATGGAAAACCATGTTATTTCAATTAAATAAAATGTAAAAACGAGAAAAGCCATTGAAATGGGTGAGTTTACTCAAGGACATAGGGGAATCCGTGTGACAGTATGGCAAGGGGCTAAAAAGATGATGCTCTTCAAGAATAATGCAGGCTCTGACCTAGCCGGAGTTTATGGATAAGGTCAGATTTGTAAGGTCGTGCTTAAGGATTCACAGCCCCTCACCGCAGCATCCATGCACCTCTCCATGGGAACACAACGCTCCCCTGTCATTTCCTAGCAGTCCCATAGGAAAAGAGTCAGGAAAGCACTTGAGCCGGCCAGAAACCCAATTCTCCACCTAGCAATCTATTTGCAGAGCGATTTATTACAGCCTTTGGTTATCGACTGAGCGAGGCACCGCGCCGGTTTTCCTCCCGTAGCAGCAAATCTCCTTCCTCTGCCGCTACGTGATTATTTTTTTGATCCGCCGATGGGCAGGGACCGCGCTGCAGCGCGGGATGGGAAAGCCATGATTTCTGCTGAGCTCACGCTCCCCACTTTATCACCCTCGCCTTCGTTTGGGGATAGGAAAACGTAAATGGAGGAGGAAACCTTTCGTGAAGCAGAAGGGTGGCCAAACGCCCGGCTCCGAACTCACGGCAGGTCCTAGCGCAGGTCACGTCCGAGGGGGTTTATTTTTTTGGGATAAAGCAAAGGCCGTTTTGGTTACGTTTAGGAAAATTCCAGAAAGAAACACCGACTCTTTTAACCTGCGGAGGAGCAGTGCTCCCACAGGGGTCCGGCGTGCCAGGCTGGGAACTGCCGTGAAGTCCAACACTGTGCTAAGCAAATTCAGGTACAGCTCACTGCGACGGGTGGAACGGCTGATGGGTGCTCGGGAACGGCTCTGCGGGGCGCACCGGGCCGCCGGAGCCGCGGCGCGTCCGCGGGGACCGCGACCTGCTCCCGTCGCGCTGTCCACAGCCGTGGCCTCAGGGCTACTGCCACGCTCAGGGCTACAGCCCACGGCCCCACTGGGGAAGCCTCTGAGGTGAATCTCCTCCCCCCAGGCTGGTTTTTCCACGTTCTGGGTGTCCAACCCACCCGCGATGGGGGTGAGCGGCACCGGGCGGTGAAACGCCGCGCACGGGCCGGAGGGGAGGGGGGAGGAACGCGGGGCTGCCCCGCACCGCGCACCTACCGGGGGCGGCTCGGATCCCACGCCACCGGGAGGGCTCCGCGACACCGAGCAGACCTCACGACGCCGGGGAGACTCGCCCTCCTCCGCCGAACAAAGGCTCCCGCCGGCCCCGCGACGCTCCGGCGGGGCTCGCCTCACGACCCCCGCCCCGCCGCTCCCACCTCACGCGCGCACCGGAGGCCCCCGCCCCGCTCCCCGCCGCCACCGCTTACCTGGGTGTCGGGGCGCGGCGCATCCCGCCGCCGCCGCCGCTGAGGGGAGTCCTGAGGGTCGTTGGCTGAGGGAGGTCGGCTCTGAACAGAGGTCCCGAGGCTCTGCGCTGAGGAGGGTGGTGCTGAGGAGTGTCCCACGGGTGGGTGCTGAAGAGGGTCCCGGAGGTCAGCGCTGAGAGAGGTCCCGGGGGTCGGTGCTGAGGGAGGTCCGGGAGTCCCGAGGAGCGGTGTTGAGAGGGGTCCCGGGAAGGGGGGGGGTGCCGACGGGCGCTCCCACAGCCGCCGCCGCCGCCCGGGCGCTGCCCGACTGCCCGCGCGCGCGCGCCGCTCTCACGCGCCCGCCCGGCGGAGGCAGCCAGGGAGGGCGGGAGCGAGGGAGGGGCGCGGCCACGCCCCCGCCCCGCGGGCACGCCCCCTGTCGTGACGGCGCGGACGCTTTACGGCAGCGCGCGGCAACCGAGCGGCGGCGGGCGATGAGGCGGAGAGTGAGAGCCGGGGGAGAACGGGGGACAAACGGGGGACTCGGGGGGAACATGGCGGAACATGGTGCCAGTAAGGTCCCGGCAAGGACCCGGCGCGGGGCGCCATACCCGGGGGTCGCGCCGGCCGCAGCCGTCGGGGTCGGTGCTGGCCGGCCTCGGGCCCGGAAGCTTCAAGCCCGCGTTTTAAGGGGAAAATAGGGGTAAAATGGGTAAGGGAGTGGAAGTGTGTTACGGTGCTGTGGGTGATCCCTGCTCCCACCCCAGGCAGGCCCTGACCCTGCGCCTGGCCCGGGTGCACTCTCTCCTGGCCCGTAATTCCCGTTTATTCCCATAAAAGCAGCGATGGGATGAGCGGGATCTTCCCGGCGCTGCTGGCGCGCTCTGATCCCGGCACCGCAGCGCCGGGAGACGCTCGGGGTCAGGCTCGGGGGCAGCACGTTGCTCCTCCTCCGTGGGGCGTGGGACACCCCGAATCGCTTCCCCTGACCGAATTCCCACTCCTGACCAAATTCCTGTGACCTCCAAGTCTTTCAGGCAAGTTACATTCCCCCGCTGTGCGTCCTGCTGCTCGCTGGATTAGACCCTTTCTGTGGGAGGTGAGAGGTGAGTGCACCGGCGGGCGGGTTAAGGATCCGAGCTGGATCCCCTCGGTACGAATCCCGCCTCTGGGACATTCCCGGAGCCATTGCTCATCCTCAGGCGTTCTGGTCGCTGGGGTTTTTCCTGTTAAACTCCAGGTTTTGGTCAACCCCATCCTGGAGAGAAGAAACCATCGTATGTTGTTTCTGTGGCTCTTGGTTTCATGCTGTGACACCAAGAGAGGTTCTGAGTTTGGTTGCAGAGTCTCTGGTTTGGGGAATTTGTCCAGAACAAAGAAGTTTGGGCATAGTGAGCTTGGAGTATTTTCCTCTGATTTCAGCACTCATGGCCTGTTGAACCTTCGGAAGTGGGATGTTCTTGTATCATACAAGAATTATAACCTACAGCTGCAGAGAGATTATTTATATTTAACAAAAAAGGAGAAAGCTACGCTTCCATTCTGGTTGAATTGATTAATTTTCCGTGAGTTTTTCCTCTGACTCTGTCAGGAAACACCTAAGTCCAGAGATTCAGGTGTCACCAAGCCTGGGTCCTGCTGGTAAATAGAAATTAATGTTTCTTGTCTGATCTTGCTCCATTAACTATCCAGACCGGATATCTAAACCCCGTGTTTCCAGGAAAAGTGAATAGAAAGTTAAACCAAAAGGTCTTTTGATCCTTAAAAGACTAAACCTTCTCTGTCCTTCCTCCTGTTCCCTGATAAAGTCTGGATTTTTTGTCTTCTAGGTGACTGTTTTCCTATTTACCTCCACGTTCTTTAAATTAGGAACAGGACTCTAATGATGTGTCACCTTAAACTATTCACTCTGGAAGTTCTTAGCACCTTTAATTTATTAAAATAGACTTTAGGAATCTGATTCATCCTTAGTTCACACTCCCATTGCTCTGTCACTGCCTTTTTACGCTCAGTTATTGAGGAGTCTCATTCCTTGGCTCTCAAGTGCCTTCAACAATTACCTGCAGAGAGCTGTTGTCTTTAATGGTGTGAAAATGACAGGTTTGGGGTGTTTTGGTCAAGTGTTGGAAAACACAAGGTTTTGCATTGTGTCCGGACACAAAGGAGCCTCATCCATTTATGGATTGAACTCGCACTAATGTCAGCAGCTAATTTTTACATTATTGTAACTTCAGTGAGGGAAGCTTGACCTCTTGCCCTATTGATGCAACACAGCACCGTTTTCAAATCTGTAAATGAAATGATGGTATTTGTATGGAAATGCTCCTTTCTCTCTCCCCAGTTTCCTCCTCTCAGCATTGGAAATGGGGCAGCTGAAATCCCTTTAAGGAGCTGAGGATTCCAGGGAGTTTGCACAAATTCCAACTACTAATATGCAAATAAAATGAACCAGCAGGACACTTGTTGGCAACCTCCAGCAAATGTTCCAGGCCTGTGCCAGTATTTATTCCTATTTTTATGGAAACTGAACAGAGCATGCCTGAGCCTTCAGGAAGAGAGTCCTGGCTGTGGGTGAGCAGAGCTGCTCCCAGTCCACATTGGCATTTCAACACTCCTCAGAGGCTCAGATCATCCACATCCTGTCTCCTGCATATCCATCTTTAGCTTTTGAGAGGTTCTCCCAAACAAAGCCACCTCACCAGTGGCTTTTCACAGCCCCACCACTTTGTTTTGGTCCTTGCTGCTTACCTGACCTGGCGCTGAGGGAGCCTCCCAAGGGTTTTCCTTGGAGCTGCATGTGGTGAGTCATCCCACAGAATTCACAGGCAGTTTCACAAATACCAGATGGCAATAAAATTAAAAGTAGTAGCTAGTGGCAATTAAGCACTTGCACTCTCCTTCCTGACTGGAGGAACCTGCCAAATGTCATGACAGGAAAAAAAAAAAAGACAACTATGTTTCTGTAGAGTGGAAAATTAACAGAGCACGGGACACACGCTTCCCTCACCCTTAATCCCATTTGGAGTGGAAAGCTATTGGCTGGACTTCTACATGTCCAGGAGAAGATGAAGCAGAAAGAACACAATGTAAAGGAAAATCTGGGGCATTTCATGGGGACATAAAAGAAGTATTTCAGCAGTGCCCATGTTAAACCCCCAAATAGGATGTTTGAAGGATGTCCAGATCTTTAAACCAGGCTATATTCGGGCAGGCTAAGGAGTTACTGGGATTTCTTGTTTTTATACTACAAGGGTTTGCACCACGAGCTTGGAAATAGTTGGAGCTCATTAAAGTCGGAAGCATGTCCAAATACCATTGTGTTTGGCTCAGCATAAACAAGGGCTGTTCCCTTCCTCTGGTGACTCCTGCTGCTCGGCATCTCCGGGATCCACCAGCCACACACAAACACTCACTGGCTGTTTCATGCCCAAACACTCACCTCGGCCCTTCCTTCCCATGTGTTACACATGGACCATGGCTCATCCATTCTGTTCCTTGCCTGTCACGTGCCAGGGGACCTTGCCAACATTTTTGAGAGATAAATCCTTTAATTTATGCATCCCAGGGCAGGAAGGGTTATTCCTCATGATTCATATCACAAGAAGAAGTGTGAACCTACTTCTTCCTAACAGAACACTCCATTTGCTTCGTTCTTCTTTATCATGATGGAAAATTGTTGACTTACTTATAGTGAATCATATTAAAGTGATCTTACCATTCCGAGCTTTCACACGAGGCTTTCAGAAATCTGAAGATGTTTTCTTGCTGCCTTTGGGACAGAGGAGGGAAGGATGAGGTCAAAACCAGTTCCATGTCATCTGTGTCCCAAGTTGTAGCATTTCCAGCCCTGTCCTGGCCAAGAAAGAATCTAGAGGCTGAGGATGCCTCACAGAACTGAAAAGCCTGGAAGGGCTGCGGGGTGTCAGAGCTAAAGGAAAACCAAGGTAGATATAGGGGCTCTAAATCAAATTTCCCTATGGAAAATCTCCTAAATCCTACTCTGGCTATGCAGAGAGTTGTCATAAAGATTCCCACGGTCGGGAACTGCTTTGTTTGTGATCTCGTCTTGCTTTGTTACTCCTTACTCACGGCTGTGCCTCCTGTGTTGGCAGCCCAGCAGGTTCTCCTGGAACAGGTCATGCCTCTGGCACAGAGCTGGGGCACCCTGTGCTTGGAGAAGCGGACCATATGTCTGCCAGACAGCTGAAAAAGGTTTTTATTTAAGGGAATACCAGTGATGCAAAGAACTCTAGTGCTTGTCAGTGCACAGGTAAAACACTAAGACATGCAAACACCACCTGACTTCTGGATCACTCCTGGTTTCTGTGCAGGAACTGCTCTGAAACTTGTTTGTTGTGAAGTTCAGATCCTCAGGATGGAAGGCTGATCTCATTGGAGCCACAGTAGGTTGCTGCTCAACCCAACACTGTGTGTTCTCCATCTGCTCATGGTCCTGCAAATATCCAGCTGGGAATCCTGGGCTCTTGCTTACTGCTGCTGAGAAAGAACTTGAGGTGTTTGTTGGGCTGCATCCAGGTGCGGGCCGTATCCTCAGCGTGATCCAATTCCCAACCCTTGTTCCCTCTCTCTTGCAGCTCTGGCGGTTCCCCGGAGCAGCGCAGGATGGATGCCGTGGTTCTCAGCTACGTGGACAGCCTGCTGAGGCAGTCGGACGTGGCCCTGCTGGAGCCCCCGAACTGGCTCAACGACCGCATCATCGGCTTCGCCTTCGAGTACTTCACCAACCAGCAGTTCCAGGAGTTCAGCCACCGAGTTTGTTTCATCAGCCCCGAGGTGGCTCAGTTCATCAAGTGTGCCCTTAGTCAGGAAGAAATAGCCATATTCCTCCAGCCGCTGGACCTTCTCCACAAGGAACTGCTGTTCCTGCCTATCAATGACAACTCCAGCCAGGCTGCTGGGGGCACCCACTGGAGCTTGCTGGTTTATTTCAGGGACAAGAAGTGCTTCGCCCATTATGATTCCCACAGTAAATGCAACTCTGTCCATGCCAAGCAAGTGGCAGGGAAACTGGAGGCCTTTCTGGGAAAAAAAGGGGGCAAAGCCACCTTTGTGGAGGAGAAGGCGCCGGCACAGCAAAACAGCTACGACTGTGGAATGTATGTGATCTGCAATGCTGAGGCTCTGTGCCATGGGTACTTCCAGGGCCGGATGGAGCCTCTGCTGCAGCTCCTCACCCCCTCCTACATCACACAGAAGAGGTCAGAGTGGAAAGCTCTCATCACTAAACTGGCACAGAAGTGATGTGGATGCACCTCTAGCTCCCCAAAAACTGCCTTCCCAGTCCAAGAGGCAGCACCCCCAGTGCCTGAGGGAGATACCCATGCACAGGAT